CACATATATAAAGTCTGAACCATACTACTGTTATATAAAGTCACCTCCGTGAACACATACTGCTGTTATATAAAGTCACCTCCGTGAACACATACTGCTGTTATATAAAGTCACCTCCGTGAACACATACTGCTGTTATATAAAGTCACTGTGAACACATACTACTGTTATATAAAGTCACCTCCGTGAACACATACTGCTGTTATATAAAGTCACCTCCGTGAACACATACTGCTGTTATATAAAGTCACTGTGAACACATACTACTGTTATATAAAGTCACCTCCATGAACACATACTGCTGTTATATAAAGTCACCTCCGTGAACACATACTACTGTTATATAAAGTCACCTCCGTGAACACATACTGCTGTTATATAAAGTCACCTCCGTGAACACATACTACTGTTATATAAAGTCACCTCCGTGAACACATACTGCTGTTATATAAAGTCACCGTGAACACATACTACTGTTATATAAAGTCACCTCCGTGAACACATACTGCTGTTATATAAAGTCACCTCCGTGAACACATACTACTGTTATATAAAGTCACCTCCGTGAACACATACTGCTGTTATATAAAGTCACCGTGAACACATACTGCTGTTATATAAAGTCACCTCCGTGAACACATACTACTGTTATATAAAGTCACCTCCGTGAACACATACTACTGTTATATAAAGTCACCTCCGTGAACACATACTACTGTTATATAAAGTCACCTCCGTGAACACATACTGCTGTTATATAAAGTCACCGTGAACACATACTACTGTTATATAAAGTCACCTCCGTGAACACATATTACTGATATATAAAGTCACCTCTGTGAACACATATTACTGTTATATAAAGCCCGTGGAATGTCTGTGAGCAAAGACCCGCTGCAAAGCTGCATATTGGAGAAGATCTGTGCACAAGAAGCCGCTAGCATAGCTCTGTTAGCATCAGAGCTACTTCCGCTACTTCCGGCTCTCGTCAGGACGTTCTGGTGTGAAGTCCTCTGCGTCTGAAAACTAGAGAATGTGCGTCTGGGGAGTGAGGCTTCAGTGTTTCAGCGTTGGCGGTCTGAAAGCACCATTAGGGGTGGGAACCTCAGGGTACGTCACGATACGATACGTGATACAAAGCTCACGATGACGATTATATCACGATATGACGATTATCGATATATTGGTCAGAAATATACCTATGATTATTTATGGCATACATAAAAGAAAAATGTTATGTGTGTCATGATAAATGAAATGGAGATGCGTAATGTAGCCATATATTAAGTATTGATGCTAATTTAAAAAAATAAAAAATAAAATCGATGCTTGGCAAAAGCATATTGGTAATCGATCGCGTGAGAAAGTATCACGATACATCACCATATCGATATATCGTCAAACTCCTGCTATATGTACTTCAGGACATTCCACTTGATATGATTTCTTGAAACAAAAACAAAAATATGAATAAGGAAGATTTTAGCTGCTTAAATGAGAAAGGCTGCCTCCCCATGTTTAGTCCTGGTTCTGGACCAAACTTGTTTAATTGCCAACAACAGATCAGAGACAATAATATAGTTTAAGTACAGGCTGTGGCGGGAAGTGGAACAAAACTATGAAGAAGTTATTTTAGGCATTACTATCTCCCAGCACAAAACAAGAGACCTCATGTATGTCGTACCGTGTTAGCGAGGGCTGTTTTATTACCTCACACAGTCGCCCTTGTAAGGCTTTCCAGAAGGATCAGCAGCAGCAGTTCAAATCCATGTCAGTGAATGCATGTCCATCATCTGTGGATTACCCAGAGATCCTTGTAATCACTGCCTCAGACCCCCCCTCCTCCCCCCCCCCCCCCCCCCCCCCCCCCCCCCCCCCTGCTCCGGACAACCTTCAGCACACTGCACACTATAGTCCATACTGCATGTGTGAGCCTTAGACGCTTCTTTTACTAAGACAAAAGGGTGTAAAGAAGTTAGCGCTGTGTAAATATGTTGTTGTGACGTGTCTCTTGGCAGCTGTGGTTTTGGATGCGGCCACGATCTGTCAGACTGGCCGCATCCAAAATGTACCGCATAGCAGTACTAGCTTCTTTACACTTTTGTTTTGTTATGAGAACGTTCTAAGCCAGGAATGTCAAACTCAGGCTCGTGGGCCAAGTCCGGCCAGACAAACATTCTGTTAGAAGCCCCTAAAATGATTTTCAATGTTTTATTATTTGAAAACTTTCAGCGATGATGGTATATGAGTTTGACTTTTCTGAACCAAGCCATAAACGTAAAGGACACAGAATGACTTTTAATTGTCCTGCATGTACTCTTTGATATGCACCAGTGTGTGTGTGTGTGTGTGTGTGTGTGTGTGTGTGTGTGTGTGTGCCTGGCGTCTGGAGTGTGTGATGTGTTGCTGTGAGCTGATTTGTGTGTGTGACTCTCTTTGTGCAGACATTGTGGATACAGCAAAGCCGACCAGGAGGGAGACGAGGAGCTGTACTTTCAGTGTGAGTGTCGCCACCGCTGGGTCCATGGGTTGGTTCTGGTTCTGAACAAAGAGAAAACTGCTGTAGAACTGGTGGAATTGTGCGACCGACGCGTAAACACTGGTCACTGGTTCATCACGGCGGGTTACGGTCTCAAAAACGACCCGCAAAAAGCAATAAGCAGAATGTTTTATGGCTGTAAAACCCTCACACACTTTATACTCGTTTCTAACCATTGGAACTCATGAACCAAGACCAGGTCAAAACCAGACCTGTTGGTTGCATAGGTCTGAGCTGCTGCAGCTGTCAAAAGCTGTGCATATGCTGTAAAATACAGCTGCAGGGGACACTGAGGGGCAGGAGCAGGACTGAGGACTACAGAGAGACCAGAGGGAGACCAGAGAGAGACTAGAGAGAGACCAGAGAGAGACCAGAGAGAGACCAGTGCGAGAACAGAGAAAGACCAGAGAGAGACTAGAGAGAGACTAGAGAGAGACCAGAGAGAGACCAGAGAGAGACCAGTGCGAGAACAGAGAAAGACCAGAGAGAGACTAGAGAGAGACTAGAGAGAGACTAGAGAGAGACCAGAGAGAAACCAGAGAGAGACTAGAGAGAGACCTGAGAGAGACCAGAGAGAGACCAGATAGAGACTAGAGAGAGACCAGAGAGAGACCTGAGAGAGAGTCCAGAGAGAGACCAGAGAGAGACTAGAGAGAGACCTGAGAGAGAGTCCAGAGAGAGACTAGAGAGAGACCAGAGAGAGACCAGAGAGAGACCAGAGAGAGACTAGAGAGAGACCTGAGAGAGAGACCAGAGAGAGACTAGAGAGAGACTAGAGAGAGACCTGAGAGAGAGTCCAGAGAGTGACTAAAGAGAGACCAAACACACACACATGTATTGGTCCATAGGAGAGACCGATGTTGATGGTCCGTACATGTTGGAGAGAATGTTGTCCTGGATCAGCACCACAGTCCTTCTAAATAGATCATGAAAGTGCTTTGTTTAAACTGGCTGCAGCTTGTGGACAGAAGTCTCTCTCTCTCTCGTCTCTGTCGCTCTCTCTCTCTCTCAAATGAAGAAGTCAGCGGACTCCACAGGCCGGTCCTGACAGCTGTCTGTGACATGACCCAGAAGCACAGCTCTCTCCCAAATCATCAGAGTGCGATTCTCTGCACTTCTTAATGACGCCTCTGGAGACGCAGCCACAGGTGTGATCCCAGAGCTGTGGAAGCACCAACACTGTGAGCAAACGGCACCTCGGCACTCGCTGCTTTGAACAGTGCGAAAGTGTGCGGTCCGGTCCGTTCTGGTCCGGTTCATACAGAGGCAGAGATGGAGCAAGAGGCCGAGCGCGGGGAACACACACAGGGAGCTAATATAGTGTGAGAATGGAAGTATGAGCCTTTGCAAAGCCCAACATGACGACAAGTCAGTGCTGAAACTATAAGTCAGACCTCTGAAGCTAAGCAGGGCAGGGCCTGGTTAGTAAGTAAGTAAGTAAGTTTTTATTTATATACCGCCTTTTCACTGCAGATCTGAGTCTCAAAGCGGTTTACAATTGTTAATTTTGGGCATTTGTCTCTCACTCCACACAGAGATGGGAGCGGGGCCAGTACAGGAGGCGCATGCTAGAACTATTGGACATATTTTTAGTGGTAGGGGAAACCGGAGTACCCGGAGGAAACCTACGCAGACACGGGGAGAACATGCAAACTCCACTCAGAAAGGCCCTGGTCCGACCGGGATTTGAACCCAGGACCTTCTTGCTGAGAGGCGAGAGTGCTATCCACTCAGCCACTGGTTAGTGCTGTGATGGGAGACCTCTGGGAATAGCAGGTGCCACAGTGGGGCGGCTGCGGCTGTAAAGTGCCAAACTGTGGTTGTGTCCTTAGGCAAGACACTTCACTCACATTAGAATGAGTCTGGTGTGTGTGTGTGAATGGTTGGTGGTGGTGGGAGGGGCCGATGGCACAGACTGGTTTCCTCGCTTCTGTCAGTGTGCCCCAGGGCAGCTGTGGCTACAGTAGATATAATTATGATGTGAAGCATCTTTGAGCGTCCAGAAAAGCCCTGTGTTAGATTAGATTTTTTTATTTATTAAACCATTATTGTTATTATTAGTGGAACAATCAACGTAAAAAATTAAATGATTTAGATTTTTTTTACATATGAAATCATGGTTTACATTTGTCTCTTTAAATGCCTGCTCTTCTCAAAGTGTAGAAAGAAGGTATTTTTGACAGAATACCCGGGAGCAAGACCGACAAACTCATTTTTTCTGAGATCTTTCTCTTTTTGAGAAATCTGTCCAGCTCCCACTGTTTGGGTCGATCCTGGCCTTCCACACGCCGCTTCTGTCTCTCTTCAGTTCAAATCAATGTTTTGTACTTTAGCCTTAAATCACATCAGCGTCATATCTGGGACTTCACAAAATAGTTAAATCACCAACATCAGAGTTCAACGATTAAAAGGAAAACAATAATTACAAACTACGCATTTTCTCCTCAAGAAGAAACTAAGAAATGACAACGCAGCAACACTACAGTTAATGTGTACAATAGTAAAACCTGTGCATGGTTTGAAAAGCTCTCGTAAAAGAGTCACAACCCGACAACACCCTCCAACCAATCACACAGAACTATGACACACACTTGGCACGGTGGCTGAGTGGTTAGCACTCTCGCCTCTCAGCAAGAAGGTCCTAGGTTCAAATCCCGGTCGGACCAGGGCCTTTCTGAGTGGAGTTTGCATGTTCTCCCCGTGTCTGCGTAGGTTTCCTCCGGGTACTCCGGTTTCCCCTACCACTAAAAATATGTCCAATAGTTCTGGCATGTGCCTCCTGTACTGGCCCCGCTCCCATCTCCCAAAGCACTTTGTGTTGCATCTGTTGTATGAAAAAGCGCTTTATAAATAAACTTTGATTGATTGATTGATTGATCTCTGTGTGGAGTGAGAGACAAATGCCCAAAAAGTAACAATTGTAAACCGCTTTGAGACTCAGATCTGCAGTGAAAAGGCGCTATATAAATAAAGATTACTTACTTACTAATTACTTACTTCAAAAGTCCCTCTGTTTCTGTTATTAAATTTAAACAAGACTCATCACCTGCAAAAATGTTTGTTTTAGTGTTGATGATTATGGCTTAATTCTCAAAATATTCTAATTTTCTGAGATGTTTTAAGTTAAAGGTTTCTTACAGCTGTTATCCATAATTATTATATTATTATTATTATTATTATAACTTGGCTCGATGTATCTCACTTTGCATCTCTGCCATTCATTTAATCTACATTTTAAAAATGTCTTTGTCCCATTGGAGTCAGACTGAACTCAAATTAAAGGAGCTTTACCCGTTTCTGCCAAGTTTTTCTCCGTTTGAATGTTTAGCACCGCCCCCAACTCGCTCACGGAGCCGTCTAGTTTCATTTGCGATCTGATACGTATGCTAACATTAGCATTAGCTCAACTTCTAGTTAGCTGTACAACAATCACTGATGAAATGGAACAAAAGCAACGCACTGCTAACAACATGTATAACTGAAAGATTAGCACTAGTTTCACGTCCAAATGTCCGAGCGTAGATAGTCCGAGCGTCGATAGTCCGAGCGTAGATAGTCCGAGCGTAGATAGTCCGAGCGTAGATAGTCCGAGCGTAGATAGTCCGAGCGTAGATAGTCCGAGCGTAGATAGTCCGAGCGTCGATAGTCCGAGCGTCGATAGTCCGAGCGTAGATAGTCCGAGCGTAGATTGTCCGAGCGTAGATAGTCCGAGCGTAGATAGTCCGAGCGTAGATAGTCCGAGCGTCGATAGTCCGAGCGTAGATTGTCCGAGCGTAGATAGTCCGAGCGTCCGAGCGTAGATAGTCCGAGCGTAGATAGTCCGAGCGTAGATAGTCCGAGCGTAGATAGTCCGAGCGTAGATAGTCCGAGCGTCCAAGCGTAGATAGTCCGAGCGTAGATAGTCCGAGCGTAGATAGTCCGAGCGTAGATAGTCCGAGCGTAGATAGTCCGAGCGTAGATAGTCCGAGCGTAGATTGTCCGAGCATAGATAGTCCGAGCATAGATAGTCCGAGCGTAGATTGTCCGAGCGTAGATAGTCCGAGCGTAGATAGTCCGAGCGTAGATAGTCCGAGCGTAGATAGTCCGAGCGTAGATAGTCCGAGCGTCGATAGTCCGAGCGTAGATAGTCCGAGCGTCGATAGTCCGAGCGTAGATAGTCCGAGCGTAGATTGTCCGAGCGTAGATAGTCCGAGCGTCCGAGCGTAGATAGTCCAAGCGTCCGAGCGTAGATAGTCCAAGCGTCCGAGCGTAGATAGTCCGAGCGTAGATAGTCCGAGCGTAGATAGTCCGAGCGTAGATTGTCCGAGCGTAGATAGTCCGAGCATAGATAGTCCGAGCGTAGATAGTCCGAGCGTCCGAGCGTAGATAGTCCGAGCGTAGATAGTCCGAGCGTAGATAGTCTTAGCGTAGATAGTCCGAGCGCAGATAGTCCGAGCGTAGATAGTCCGAGCGTCGATAGTCCGAGCGTAGATAGTCCGAGCGTAGATAGTCCGAGCGTAGATAGTCCGAGCGTAGATAGTCCGAGCGTAGATTGTCCGAGCGTAGATAGTCCGAGCGTAGATAGTCCGAGCGTAGATAGTCCGAGCGTAGATAGTCCGAGCGTAGATAGTCCGAGCGTAGATAGTCCGAGCGTAGATAGCCCGAGCGCAGATAGTTTGAGCGTAGATAGTCACTTATGACTATCTACGTTATAGCCACTTATGCTAACATGCTAACATGCTACTGTGTTTAGCAGCGCTGTAGAGGCTAAAGGACGCAGCCTCGTTCTGTGATTGGAGGAGAGCGGGCGTCACGCTAAGTCTCTACTCAGCACTTTTTACGCCTGAGTTCATAAACAGCTGAATCAATGAGCTAGAGTTTTACATTAAATTACGGATTTTAATACAACGCATTTTTATGAACTCATTAGAAAATAAATGGGGTATAGCTTCTTTAACATAAATAAAATTAGCTTGAAGCAT